GGATTAAGTAACTCCATCCCGTTCTCAGGAAAGTTGACAGTGATCTGTCTTTTAAGGCTTATTGGCACCCTGTTCTCAAGAAAGCTGACAATGATTTATCCTGTAAGGCTTACTGGCATCCTTACTGGCATCCTGTTCTCATGGGCTATTTTGTGTGTTGCAACTGGGAAGCATGCTCAAAAATTTCCATTCTGTAACACCAGATTTGATTGCGGTCAAGGGTATGTACCTCAGTTGTGTACCCCAGTAGGGGTGTGCAGAGGACAGCTGATCAATGTTTCTCTCTTGTCGATGTTTCTAAATCTCTATTCCTCTCCCTTCCTCTCAATAAAATATATTTAAAAGAAATAAATGAAGAGAGTTGTTGTCATAAAAATTATAGTAGTTGCTTTTTATTGAGCACCTACTAATGACAAGTTATGGGAGAGGCTACAAGTGTTCATTCATATCTTGTTTTTCTCTCCTTGGGACATCCACTTGAGCCAGTATTCCATTTCCATGCTTCCTCTATTATTCAGCAGCAAACATGGAGACCCTGTGCCAAGATAACAGAGCTACAAGAAGGTAGAAGCAGCCAGGATCCCTGAGTTGCCTGAGCACATAATGAACCTGCCAATGAAAACCATAATTCATATGGACAACAAAAACAAAAAAATGTGTTGTGTTAAACCACTCATATTTTAGGTTTTGTCTATTGCATCAGCTAACAGTTACTTTAACTGATTAATACACACCTATTTCTGAGTTGGGGCTTATTTAAATGTTTTACTTATAAAAGTAGAAAGGTGGTAGTTCATATATTCTTGTTAAATATTGTAAACACACAAATCAATCCTATTACTCCCCTTTATCAAGTTCCTCCAAAATTCAACCTCTATCTCAAAGGAAATTACAATTACTAATCTGGTGTGTATTATTTCAAAGCTTATTCTGAGATTTTTCATATTTGTGTATTAAAATCTATTTTTCTTTTAACTTACGTGGTGATGATATATAAATTAACCTTTAACTTACCTTGCCAGTTAAAAAGTGAACGTAATATATTTCAATTGACAGCACTTACTTTCCATAATAATAAAGTATGTATGTGTCATAATTAGATACTTCTGATGGACATATAAGTGATTTTCTTTTACCTGCTATGATTAATATAACTGAAATCAACATATTGAACATGACTTCTTAGGAAAAATGTATATGTTTTCTAATAAGAAAAACATAAAACAGAAGTTTGGTTAATGTGCAAAGGGTAAGAATATTTAAACTTTTATAAATATTGCCAAAATTTTATTCCATATAGTTGTTCATAAATTAATGTAATGTGAATATCCTAAAATTTTATAAACATTACTAGAGACCTGGTACATTAAATTCATGCACTTGAGGGCCCTCAGCCTGACCTGCACCCTCTTGCAGTCCAGGAGCCCTGGGGGTATGTCCAACTGATGGCTTAGTGGAACGGAGGCAGGAGAGGCTCCCACCACTGCCACTGTGCTCTCCAGCTGTGAGCCCGGCTCCTAGCTGAATGGTGCTCCCTGTGTGGGAGCATAAGGACCACCAGGAGCAGCTCCTGCATTGAGTGTCTGCCACCCGGTGGTCAGTGCGCATCATAGTGACCCATCATTCCACCATTCGGTCATTTGCATATTAGCCTTTTATTATATAGGTTATGCTATAGATGAGGCCCCCTAGAACCATAAGAAATGCAAAAAATTGCCAGGACCGGTTTGGCTCAGTGGATAGAGCGTCGGCCTGCGGACTGAAAGGTCCCGGGTTCGATTCCAGTTGAGGGCATGTACCTTGGTTGCAGGCACATCCCCAGTAGGGGGTGTGCAAGAGGCAGCTGATCAATGATTCTCTCTCATCGATGTTTCTAACTCTCTATCCCTCTCTCTTCCTCTCTGTGAAAAATCAATTAAAAAAAAAGAAATGCAAAAAATTCACTGTTAACTCATTTTCGAATTTCCCCCACTTGAAATCAAATTACCCCCTCCCCCCAGTGGGGCGTGTGCTGCACCTTGTGAACCACTAGACTTGACACATTTCCTCTCTGAGCTTCATTTCTGAATACATAAGCATATATCATGGGAATTGTAATCTCTCCTCCACCTACCTCACTGGGTTGTCATGAGGAGGTTCTGAGCTAATAAACCTAGAAATGTTTCATCAAATAAGTGATGTCTAAATGGGAAGAGATTGTTATTTTTAAGCCCATAGGTACCCTCACAGGAAGCTGGTGCTGATTGTGGGAGAAGGGTATGATTGTTTCCTGGGACTGTAGCTATCTAAGCTTTACAGAGGGTGCCGCAGGCCTTGGAGGAGCTGGCTCTGGCCAGCAGCCCTGTAGCAGTGGTTGTCCCTAGAGATGCTGGAGGTGTGGGGGATGGGGTAGGTTGTCTGTGCAGGGGGGATTGAAAGAGCTCCCCATGGCCGCTTCCTCTTCCTTCTTTGCAGTCCGGGCTCCTGTCAGTCACTCTCCTCAGACCCCAGACCTTGGTGTACTTGTCTCCAGCTGCCCTGGCCCTCCATGGCTCCATGCCACCCCCGCCCTACTCAGCTCTCCCCTACTGCCCACCTGTCAGGAGGCTGCCAAGGCGCCCTACTGCGGGTAGTGCAGTCCTGAGACAGGGGGTGGGGATGTGGGGAGCATCTCCAGTAAAGTTTAATAAAACCCAGGTTCGCATTGGGATTTGGCTGTGGGGCCACAGGGAAATCTGCCTGGGCAGGATGAAATCACGTGAGACCCAGAGTCCACCCCATGGCCCCACAGCCCCACCCACCCTGCTGAACGGTCTTGATGTGATGGTGTCCCAGATAATTGGCATATTCCTCTATTATTAGTATAGAATTTACCAATCTTTCAAATTTTGCTAAAAGTTATGAGTAAAAAAAAAATGTTATGCCAATGTTATTTTAATTTATATCTCCCATTTTCTGATTAGGTTAAACAAAAAAACAATCCCTCACCCATATAAAGCTGGATTTATGCAGTGATGGCCCAAGTAAAAGGATTCCTCTGGGTATGATTTAAAATCCTCAAATGTCTGCATGGCATTTCCCCTTTACTTAGAGAAGCAAGGATTCAGTCAGAATGACTAGAAGCCACGGAATATGACCAGCTAGAACACCCTAAGACTGGAGGGGCACAGAGAGCATTCTGGAGAGAGCAATTATTAGAGCCTACAAGAGAGGCCATGTGCAAAAACAAGTCCAGAGAGCCCCAGACAAGCTGGCAGTCAGTGCTATGAGTCCAGAGTTCAGTGTAGGAAGAAGGGTCCAGGAGGAGAAATGGTGAGAATCTATATAAATGGTACTGGACAATTTATATAAATGGGCTTGTGAAATATTAGAATCCTCATTAGCAGCTGAATATCACAGAATAGTCTGAATAAAAAGGTCAGTGGGGTACATGGACCATCAGCATGCCAGATAACACCTGCTGCCTTACAACCACCAATATATCATGCCAGGAAGAGCATAGCAGTTCTCCTGCATAATTTGGTTGAGCAATACTCTTGAGTAATTTAGTAGGCCAGGATACCCATGCCAATAACTAGACCTAATCACCATAGTAAATTTCCAGATATAGGTTTGCATGAGCACCTCCTTTGAAGGAGATCCAGATGGCGTTCATGGCTCAGGCAGCCTTCGAAATATTCTGGGCTGTTCCTAAAAACAAAAAAAATGCCCAGTGGCTATGAATATTGGCCTATGTTACACCAGATACGATAATGTATTGCTAGGCACAGAACTAGATAAATAGCCAGGCAAGTAGCCCCCACTGAGGTTCGTTAGTCTTCAAAATCTCGGTTGACTTCAATAATTGACCATTTGGGCTGCTTGGTATTTTGCTCATCCCTGAGCTTTAAATACCAACTATTGTGTTTTACATTACCCAATAAAGAGCGAGCCCATGACAACATAGGTACCCACATGTAACCCCAATAAAAGCAGAACCCAAGCTTTCTCACTGCTCAGCTTTCCTTCCTATCTCAGATCTGTCACTTAATAGCAGTAAAATCTTGGGGAAATTACTGAACGCCATGAGCCTCAGATCCATCACCTGTTAAATGGGTGCCTTGTAGGAAGAACTGCTGGAATGTATGAAAAGTAAGAAAAGCATCTGGCACAGTACCTGACATCGATTCAAACATTCCAATATTATTTTGTCCCCCAACCCTCCCACCATCTATCTCCTCTGGGATCTAGTTGTAATCGAGGACATTCTCAGATAATATGCAGTTCAAAAGGAGATGGAATATAAGTCAGGCAAAAATACAGCTTCACAAATAAAATCCTTTAAATGTTTCCTCTTAGAGGATATATTAACTTGGGCATAGGTTAGTCTTCCACAGCTAACTCAAAGACCAACTCCTTCCTTCCCTCTAGCTACTCATCGATCAAAACGCTATCTTCCTTCATTTCACTACCACCAAAATCTAGACATTGCTTAGAGTTGGCCTAATAACACTCAAGATGTGTCTAGAACCCCTAGTTGATGCACTGTGTTGTTCACTGCACTAGGACAAAAAGTTCAGGACACTTTCCATACCCAACCCAAGGTGGAGATTTCTCCCTGGTTTATCCAGGATCCAAAAGTTTTCCATGTCAGCTTTTCTCACACTTCAAGAACACAGTCCCTGAGGGCCTGGTCCCTGCCACCACCCACAGCTTAATTTAAAATTAACTCCCAGGGAAGGAATTGCAGTTTGCCTTAGCCCCAAACTGCCTTGGCTCAGGGCATTTTCACTTGAGCGCTCCCATCTGGAATTTCATCTCCTCCCTCCTTGTTTTCACTTGTCCTGTAGGTATTGAAGGACATCTCACCATCTTCCTGATGTGAGTGCTGCTCTTAGCCTAGCCTCTACTATTCTTTGAGTAGTGGTGTGTTTTGCTTATCCTACTATCTCCATTATTAATGCAGTGTTTTGCAAAGAGGAGATATACAATTAATATTTGGCAAATAAATGAGCAAGTGAGCATTTGTAAAATTCCTTTATTAACATTTTCTATGATAACACCAACTTTCTTGAATAAGCCAAGAAAATCCAGGTATATATCTTTTAATGTTACAAAATAAACGAAAATGGTTAAGGAATCCAAAAATTAACCACCTGTTATATTTCCCACTCCCTCTATTTTCAGCAGGCTTCTTTCACATTTCCAAAGAAATTCCCATTCCAGTGTCATTATATTTTCTTCCAGATCACAAAAGACGGAAGTATCCCCAATTTATTTTTCAAAACATTAAAACTCATAAATAAACCTGAAGAGTAACAATACATGTGAGACCACTGTCATTCATCCACTTAGATTCTAAAGCTAATAAACCTTCCATGAAAAGGAACAGTATTTAAGAAAACCCTAAAGTAGGGGGAACAAAGGGTAAACCTCCAACCCATGGACATAGAACACAAAGCTGTTGTACACTGTATTCTCCCCAACCTGACCCTGCCTCTGACTCTCCTCTACTTAGAAATGTGAGTGCCCTTTCTAACACAGCGTGAGGATTTCTTCTCATTCTTCAGCTGGGGAAGGAGAGGCTGTGCCATGAACTTGGCGGCAGCATGACCCACAGGGCCAATTCTGGCCTGGGCTCTCTCTTGCTCATCTCTCAAAGCCTCCTCATACCAGCATGAGAAGGAGATGTGGTCAATCCCTTTGATCTTGAATAAAAATTCCGGAACTTGCAACTTGCTGGTTTCAGCAGGGGCCCTTGGACCCCACCTGAATTGGTAGCATGGTGGGTCACTATGAAGCACCTGCTGGTACTCCAGGTAATTCTCCTGAACCCAGGTTCTGGTGAGGAGCTTCCTAGGTTCCCCATAAATGAAGTGCTCCCTCCCTGCATAAACTCCCATCATATTCAGGAACTCCCAAATGGCTTCCTCCTGGGCACAGTTGCCCTCCAGGAAGATCATACCCAGGATGATTATCAGGAAGCCGTTTTTAGGCATGTTCTCATGGTCACCAAGCATCTCATCATAGGTGAGATCCAGTGAGTTGACAAGAACATAGGAGTGGGGGGCAGGGACCACTTCCTTCACATCAATACCACAGATCACCTCCAAGCACTTACAAGCTTTCTTAAAAATCACAGGGAATTGACGCTTGCCCCTTTTGCTAACAACTTGTAGCATCTGTGCCTTTGTAATAGGCTTCCTCAAATGATACCTGAGGATCATGATACGCACCAAATCGGTCACATTCTTATCTACGCGGTCCCTACACTGAGACTCAGGGTCTGCTGAGGTCTGCAGGGAGCTTGTATCCTCCTTGTCTTGGCTGCTGGGGCCCTCAACTGATGTGCTCCATGCCATGGACCTCTGAGGACACTGGGGAGGTCTTGATGTCTTAGAAGCAGGCTGCTCCTGCTTCTTCAGCTTCTCCTTCCCATCCTTCTTCTGCTCTGCCTTCTTCTCTTCCCACTCCTCAGAATCCCCCTGCTTCCCCTTCTCTCCCTTCTTTTTCTCCCTATCCTTCTCAGCCTCCTTTTCCTTTTCCTTCTTCAGAGGGCCTGGGAATTGAGGAGGAGGTGGGAGAGGAGGAGGAGAAGGAGAAGCTGAAAGAGCAAGAGGAAATGGAGGAGTCTTCCTCCTCAGGTATGGGAAATATTATCTCATTATGGGCCTGAAAGTTTGGCTCAAATGTGAGGCATTGGCGCTTTGAGGAGTGAGACATGTTGACTCTTGTTGTGGGCAGCAGGTGGAAGTGTGAGCAGGATTGTGGGAGATGGGTTCCCAGGAACCTGCGGGAGAGGGAGAGGGTTAGTGGCTTCAGCAGAGATGCCCACCCTTGGCAGCTCTGACAAAGGCTGACTTACAGGTCTTCTATTTAGGGGGTGCTCTGGGGCCTCACTGGGCTCCTGTCTTCCTGGATGGTTTGTCTCCCAGCAACCTGTAGGATGATGTGAGAAAGCGCCTCAGGGTGCAGCCACCCAGCACAGCCCAAGGCTTCAGGGCTGACTGTGAGCAGGTGGCGTTGGGGAATGTGGCTGGGGACTTGGATAGACATTCAGGGTATGTATCTCACATTGACTCCTCACTCTGCCTGGGCCTCCTCTGCTCTGCTGACCTGAGGACACATGCCTCACACAAGGGCCCTCTCCTCACAATTCCTATCTGAGGGTTCCCTGCATCCCTCACATTGATGCCTAGTGGGGCCTGGGACACCTCCCTCTGCTGTCCTGGGCACTGACCATTCAGAACACACCCTCACCTCCCTGAGACCATCTAGAAGAAAGTGAGAGTGCACTGTATCCAGCCACTGTGCCTCAGGGCCTCCCAGATCTCACAGAAGGTGAAGGGTAGAGGTGGGTATGCCTTCAGTACTTCTGTGAGGGTGTGCTGTCCTCAGTGCTCACTAAGGGTCCTTACCTTAAATCCTGGCAGAGTCTGGGACTCATCCCTCTGCTGACCTGTTATGTCCCCCTCAGAGCAATGCCTCCTTAGATCAAGGCCCTCACCTCCCTGAGAACCTCTGCACAAAAGTGAAGAGGCTCCACCTCTTGCCACCCCTACTAGGCCTTTCCAGTGCTGATGGCAAGGGCTGGGCCCATCAGGTGGATGGTGGGCTGTCCTCAATCCTCATTCAGATTTCACAGTCTGAGCTAAGAAAGGAAGACTGCCAGGCTGTGCACAGTCTCTTCTGTGGGGGGAATTACCTTTGTTCCTCACCAAGGCTCCTTTCCCGGGACTCCTGGTAGAGCTGGAACTCCTTCCTCTTCAGACCTGAGGCGGCTCCCACAGCTGCCCTGCCTTCGTATGCAGACTGAGGCCCTCAACTCCCTGAAACCATCGCCAAGACAAAAGTAAAGGGACATCACATCCAGCCTTCCATGCCCGGGGTCTCCCAGGACTGAGGGCAGGTATAGGTGGTCCGTCTGTCATCCCTCAAGAGATTCCTCTCTGCTCCTGGAAGGGCCGGAACCTACCTCATGGAGTGACCAGAAATCAGCCCCTTAGACCAAGGCCTCACCTCCCAGAAACACCTCCACCCACCCCATGCAGGAAGTGAGGGACACCACATCTCAGAATTACTGTCCAGATCCCCCCAGGGTGGATATTGTGAACAGGGTGGTATTTCTGTGAGCAACTCCCCTTCTGTCCATATTAGGGGGCACCCTTAATCCCCCTTATCTCACCTATATGCATCCGAAATCCTGGAATTCGTTCCTCTGCTGATGTCACCAGCTCAGACCAAGGCCTTCACTCCCCTGGGACATTACAGACAAAAAGAAAAAGAAACCAAATCTAGACATCCCTGCCTGGGGTTTGTTTTGGCATGGGGAATATGGTCAGTACTCCCTCAAAGTGTTTATGCATCTGTATTCCTAGCAAGGTCTGCCCTGCCCTCCTCTGACCTGAAGCTCCTCCTCCAGCCATGACCTCACTCACCTTCCTGAAGCAGTCCATCACCTTGACTGCTGGTAGAGTTCCTGGCAAATGTGAGTTTTCCCATCTGGCCATGCCTGCCTGCTCAGATGCTCCCAGGGATGTCACTCTGTGGGGTCCATCTTTTGGAGGAGGGGAGCCTTCAGGCCTCACTAAAGTTCCTTACTTGATTCCAGCCAGAACCTGAGACTTTGCCCTCTTCTGAGCTGCTGTGGCTCCCCCTATAACTGTTCCCTCCTGAGACCAGCTCTCTGAGACCTACCTCCAGACAAAAGCAAGCAAAGGCCACATAGGGCCAACATTGCCATGCTCTCCTGATGTTGGCAGGAGGGGAAGGGTGGGACTGGGGCCCTCTAGCTCTTGGGTATTTCCAGGGCAGGCAGGCTGAGGCCCCTTCTCACAGCCCTCTGCTTGATGCCTGGCAGGATCTGGCTGTATCCTCTATCAACTAGCCTGAAGTCACACACCTCAATAAAAGCCTCAGCTCCCCCAGAATCCCATAGTGGGAGTCAGAAAACAGCACTTTTGGTAACCCTCCTGGGCAATTTCTGTGAGATCCTTCTCCATGGGGTGAGAGGTCCTCTCCCAGACTCTTAATGTTGACACTTTTCAGGGCGTCAGAGCCTCTGTCTGCTGAACTCAGGCCACACTCATGGGAACAAGGTGTTCACCTTCATGAGACACCCCCATTCCCAAGGGTGTGGGTAGTGAGGGAGGGCCACATTCAGTAGCCATGTCCCTAGTCCTCCCATGTTGACAGCAAAGGCAGAGACTGCCTTGGTCCTATCTGTTGTGATGTAGGGAGTGCTCTCAGTCCTGACATTGGCAAACCCTAATTTGGGCCTTGGACTCTCCCTCTGCCAGGCTGCTCTGGCTCTTTCAGAGCTAGGTTGTCTCTCCCTTGAGAATCTCCAGATAAAAGCAAAGAGAGGCTGCATTCTGCTGCTCCTGCCCAGGGTGTCCTGGCTGTGGCAGAGGCTGAACACTATCTGTTCTAATGTGTGTATGTTGGGGGGGGGGGGGGATATCTTCTGTCCTCTCACAGTCCCTCAATGTATTCAGTGCCTGCTCAAATGGAGGCCTCACTTCCAAGAGGCAAGCCCCACAACTTCCTGGAGGAAGTGAGGAAATACCACTGGTGACTGGTACTGCCTGTGTGCTCTAGGGTTGACAGGAAGTGGAGTGGGGTGTTTGGGGAGCTTCTCTGTCTGAAATGAATGGTTCCATCCTCTATCCTCAAAGTGTTCATACTTTTTCCTGGCAGGTCCAGCATCTCCTCCCTTCTACTATTGGCCTGAGCATGGTCCCTCAGCCCAGGGTCACTGTGTCCCTGAGATGCCAGAAAAAGAAGTCAGTGGTGGATAAAGAAGGGCCTCTGTGCTCCACAGCCCTGCCCAAGGCTTCCTTGAGAGGCAGGCTACTGTGGGGCACCCCCAATCTGGAATCCCAGGTCTTCTCACTCCTCCCTAAAGGTTCTCATCTTGAAGCCTGGCAGGGCCTAGGCCTCCTCCAGCTACTGACCTGAATGTGCACCACACCTTCAGAAAAAACCTCATGTTCAGCTAGACTCCCGAACTTCCTGATTACTGGAGGAAAACACAAAGGGAAGCCATGGGCCCTGTGTGTGGGTGGGGGGGGGGGGGTTAACTGCACACACACACACACACACACACACACACACAAACGCGCAAGCACAGGGACTCCCATGCACAAAAGAGCGCGCCTATATGTGCGCAGGCGTGCTGAGCTGGCAGCCACTGGGGCCCCTCTCTGTGGGAGTTCTCCCCTCAGTACCTTCTCAGAGGCGCTTAGCAGAAGGAACCCCTCCTGCTACCCAGCTGCCACAGCCTCCTGTTCCTGAGACTCTCAGCTGGAAGGCGGGACTGGACACCCTGTATTTATTGAAGGGCCTCGCCAGTGGTCTCCCAGAGCCAACAGCAAGTTCATGGCAGAACTCCCCGCCTCCACACACTGAATGGCGGTTTCCTCCATTAGGCTGACCAGACAGTGTCTCAGACGCCTTCTTCCGCTGACCTGACACGGGGCCTACAAACCAAACCTCATGCCCTCAGATTCTGGAGACAGAACCGAAACGCCACACCCACCACCAATGCTTGGAGTTCCGCAGGACCTGGGCACCCCCGCACCCTGTTTGGCTCCCACCCTCTGCGGTGGGTCGTGTCCCTCATCTTCCTCAGGGTGCTCACCTTCAACCCAGGCAGAGCCTCGAATTAATTTCTCGCTCTTTGGACCTGACTCTGCAGACCTCGGAGGAAGACCTCAGATCCCTCAGGCTCCTGAGGCGAAAACACCAAAGGAGCCGGATCCGGGCATGTTGCGTGGGGGCACCCGGGGACCACTGCAGGGGCGGGACAGGACTGGTGGCCTGTGTCTGCGGTGGGCGGTGCCTTCCTTGCTTTCTCAGAGGCCTCTCTCTGCTGATTGGCCAGTCCGCGACTCCCTCCCTGTGCGGATCTGAAGCCCCACCCCTCAGCGCCAGCCATGGAGGGCTGGACACAGCACATCCGGGAGCCTGCCTGGCTCTCCCAAGGTGCACAGCGAGGGCAGGGCGTGGGGGAGGAGGCGGGAGACTCCTGTGTCCCAGGGCAGCTCCTGGCCACACACCTCCCCTGGGGCCCACCCTAAGGTGCGGACCTGAGTCTGGCCTGCTCAGTTGAAGCCCCTTGTCCCTCAGGTTCCTAAAAACAAAGCTGCGAAGTGCCATATGCAAACACCAAACACCTGTGCCTGGATTTTCCCTTGCTGAAGCCAGAGGCAGCCTGAGGTTGGCCCCTACCCTAGGCGACGGTGGCGGTGGCGGTGGCGGTGGCAGTGGCGGTGGTGGTGACTGTGGAGGTGGAGGTGGCGGTGGCGGTGGCAGGGGTTCTCACACTCTTCCTAGGGATTCTTGCTCTGATCATCGCCCAGGCTCAGGACTCCTCAAACCGAGGGTCTAAACCCCCCCCCCCCCTCCCGCAAGACTGGGCGAATG